ATTTTACTATGGGAATTCATCAGTTACTTCATTTCTGAGTTCAAGTGCCCACACCATACAATAACCTATCATTGAAGATTACTTTCTCCTTCAATTTCGTTAAAAGAGAAAAGACTTCCTAAGGGACTTGTTGCCCATAATTAGAACCACTCATTTTCTTGATTTCTGGGATACACAAAAAGTCATTTCCAAAATTTATTCAAAGTGTATCAATTATATCACTTAGCAGCAACGTATCTCATTCAATTCATTAAGAAAAGACTGGGAAATTAAAATATTGTAAATTTCAGTACACTTTCCCCAATGCATTTTTTAAAAAGTAAGTGCATTCATTTTATTACACACTTTAAGTGTCAAAACCTCCAAGCTCAGATCTAGCTCATTCAATTTGTGGGAAATGCCCTGCACACAAGCATCTCTTCAGCAGAGCTGGTCTTCTTTTCTAGGCCAGTCTGAGATCCGCCTTATTTTCTGTGACAAAAAGCCTGGCTTAAGTTTTTAATTCATGCCAACATTACAATATATGTTTTCAGGACTGTTGTAAGAACCACTGTAAGAAGGATTACTTCTAATCTTGTAAAAAAAAAGATTACTGAAAATGAAGTCCAAAATCAGGAGTGACATGATGGAAATAGTCCACTTTATAATAGATTACAAAAGCAAGGATAAATTTATAGCCTCTTCTCACGACACAACTGGCCACAATGAAATGGCCTGTGTAGCCACAATGGCAGGTATTTACAATAAACAAAACATAATTGATGACGTTCACATTTTTAATGCAGGTGCACGTGTGTTCTGAACTTTAGAATTAGCATCTGGGAATAAGAGTCATTTGTAAAAGAAAATGGAAATTATTACTTTAATTTTTTTAGACACTGAGATAAACTCTTCAACTAATTTAATGAAACAGGAAGTATGTATACATTGCTAGGAAGGAGTTGATCCAGATGCTGGCGTTTAATTTTTATCGTTTGATTAATAAGAGGTGTAGAAGGACATATATTAAACATTTTATAAGCTTGAGTGTCTTGGGATTCATTACAATTGGAAAACATACTTTATTATATCATTTGATAAAATAGATTTTAATTATTATTGAATAATGCACAGTGCATTTGAGAGAAACCACATAAAATTTTTATCTCAGTCTTAGTATAACGTGCATACTAGTGTTCCTGCCAGCCCCTGTGCCTGAGAGAATTAGTGTTCTGAAGCAAATCTGTGCTGTTCCAACTGCTCAGAAATCCCTCCCCCTCCCTCCCTCCCTCCCTCCCTCCCTCCCTCCCTCTCTCCCTCCCTCCCTCTTTCTTTCCTTCCCTACTCTCCTCTTCATTTCTCTCTTCCCTTCTCTCCCATCACTTCCTCCTCCTTCCCTAGCGTAGTTACAATCACTTTGGGAGTATAGTTCCAGATATGCTCTGTGACTCGGAACAAATAACAACCTCTCTGGGCCTCCCTCCAACCTTGGCAAGGTGTGTAGTATACATAAGAATCTGTTTACTGAGTGTTAGTATGAGGCCTGGGGCTGGGAATCTGTGTGTGTGTGTGTGTGTGTGTGTGTGTGTGTGTGCTTGCACGCACACACGCAGTGTAGTTTGCATGGAAACTTGTCCGGGTGTGCAGACGTGTGGTGAGTGTGGCGTAAACGAGGTGTGTTGTGTGTAGGCAGTAGTGAGTGGCAGGGTGGATTAGAAACAGAACTTCAAAGGAATTTAGCTCGTTTCCATACTTTGCGGTGATGTATGGGACAAGCAGACTCCTTTTCTTGTCTCAATAGATCTGGGGCACACGATGTGCCAGCTGCTGGGTTCAGCGTTTGACTCCCTTGGGACATGAGGTAAATGTGTTTCTTGCCCGTGTGGAGATGACAGTCTGGAATCCCACTAGTGACATGGACTTCTGTATGCCAGGAGGGGCTTTGTGGTCCGGCGACCTGCAGTGTGGACATTGGTATCCACAGCATTTACAGGTTAAACACTTCATCCCTCAGACCATGGTATCAGGAGGTGGAGTCTTTATGAGATGATCAGATCATGAGGCTATAGAACCCAGGACTACCAGCCCCGGGATGGCTCCACCCACAATGGGCTGGGCCCTCCCCCATCAATCTCTAATTAAGAAAATGTCCTGATCTTATGGAGGCGTTTTCTTTTTTAAAAATTAATTTATTTATTATGTATACAGTGCCCTGCCTGCATATGTGTCTGCAGGCCAGAAGAGGGCACCCGATCTCATTACAGATAGTTGTGAGCCACCATGTGGATGCTGGGAATTGAACTCAGGACCTCTGGAAGAATAGCCAGTGCTCTTAACCTCTAAACCAACTTCATGGCTGAGCATGGGGTTTGCGAGAGGGTTGGTAAGAGCCAAGACTGGAAAGGTCGTGGGCTGCATTACTGTGTGTCTCAGAGTATCCTGTGATAGAGTGGGATGTGTCCTGAAGTCTTAGGGAAGGGTTTTAAAAGGTGGATGTGACCTGGTGGGATTGTGCTGTAGATACTCTAACGCTGGCTTCTCTGGAAAAATGGACTGAGAAACACGAGCAGGGCTAAAGCAGAAAGAACAAGCAGACAGTTCTAGTTATGCAGGTGAGGGGACTGTGGCTTAGCCTGGCTAAGAGTGGGTGGAGAGACAAGCCTGGATGGAAGTACTCGCTGCAGACATCCGGGAGTTACTCAACCAGGAACCCTGCGGGATAGGATATTTGCCTCTCCAGCTATGGAACCCTGACAGAACGGCAGGAAGGAAGCTCCTGTGAGCCCAAGAAGGGGCTGTGCTTTCTGGATGGATGGATGGAGAGAGAGAGAGAGAGAGAGAGAGAGAGAGAGAGAGAGAGAGAGAGAGAGGGAGAGGGAGAGGGAGAGGGAGAGGGAGAGGGAGAGGGAGAGGGAGAGGGAGAGGGAGAGGGAGAGGGAGAGGGAGAGGGAGAGGGAGAGGGAGGGAGGGAGGGAGGGAGGGAGGGAGGGAGGGAGGGAGGGAGGGAGGGAGAGAGGTTTCCTGAGCGACAGGAGCCTGGAAGGCAGTCATGCAGTCTCTGCGCCTGTCTGGGTGTCATCCCTAACGGTAGCTTCTGAGGCCACTGCCCCGTGAAGCCTCTGGCCAGTGGGTTTGTGTTCTGCAAAGTCTGGTTCTTTGGCAGATATGTGTGTGGTGAAGAAAATGCCTCTCATGCTGGGGCCTGTCTGCTGCCCACTCCCAGCCTGTGGTATGGCAGCCTCTAGCCTTCAATTCACCAGAATTAAAAATCAGATATGACTCGGGCGCTATTCCTTGGTCTTCCAACCCCCTTCCTGTAACTGATCTTGTTCACTTTTCAACTTTGGATTCTTTGCTTAGGATGTGAATTGAAATGACTTTCTTCCCAGATGTCACGCAGGCAGAAGCCTATCACTGCCTGACAGGGTGTCGAGGCTCTGCCTACCTGGTCTCAGCTCCTGACACTCTATGGGCCTTCAAGCCTGCACTCCTGTCCAGTCACCTGATGCCCTCAGATACTCTTCAGTTGACTCAGGCTAACATCTGCCTGCTGTCGGCTTCCCGTTCTCTCTCCCTGTACATCACCCATGAGTTTCCCACAGCCTAGGTAAAACTGTCACTTCCTAAATTATTATTCCCTTGCTATCTCTCACTGCAGTGGATCCCAGCCTCCTTTGTCTTTTAATGGGGCTCTGTCACAGCTCCAAACACCCTGGGGTTTCCAGTTCTTGCTTACAGGTATGTCTTCCCCTCTGTATTGTTGAGTGTTTCACAGGCTTGGTGTTTTGTCACCTGGGGATACACAATTAAGTAGGATTCATGGAGCCCTTGGGATTGAGGGTATCCTCATTCTGCATGGGGATCATTACGACAGACTGGATCCAGAGTAAAATTGGAGGGTGTGATGAGTAAGGGGTCTCTGTGACAGGGTTTCAGAAGTCATTAGCTCTCTGGAGAGTTCTAACCCTGTGCTGATCCTGATAGCAAGCATTTCTGGGGGCACCCCATATGCCTAGTCTGGGGCACCCCTCCTCTAGTGGGAATGAGGGGTTGGGAAAGTTGGAAATGGGTCTACCCTGGGAACATACAGGACCAAAGGAGTTAGTTCTCTTTCATGCTGAAACTTGACTGGATATTTGGATGAGCCCTGCATATGCAAATCTCCCCAGCATGAGATTTCAGAACCCTGGGGTACAAAGGCAACTATTTAGAACTTCTGAGAGAAGTCACATCTCCATAGCTGGCCACATGGAGTAGATGGGACAGGAGGAATGGGAATGGCTATATCTCAGAGACAGTGTATCTATTAACCAATGCCACCAAATCCAGGGACATTCTATACCATGTCTGATAACCTCATAGGCATTCAGGGAAGCTGAACATGGTCTGACACTCAGTTCTGGGGTTCCAGAGAAGGCTTCAGAGGGTTGAAATGCTCCTTTGGGGATGGGGTAGCGTTGAGCTTTAACCCACAGGCTAGACTTTCAGGCTCCATGAGTGATGTCATCCACCAGGTCATGCACTGGCTGAGTCAGAACACCCAGGGGGATTTGCTAAGAATGATTTAGTGAGGATTCTGTCTTAGCAGGTATAAAGTCATCTTCAATCAGCTCCCAGGGTATCCTGCAGTTTGGCATGGAGTCCACTGTCTGGGGGAAGAGTTAGAGGGCAGTAGAATGACAGCTCACTTGGCCTTCATATCATACTGTTCTTTAGACCTCACCGAAGGCGTGTGAGGCCCAACACAAAGTGCCACTGACATGCAGGCAGAAGCCAAGGGGAAAATGTTCAGACCCGCAAATGTTCTCAGTGGCCAAAGCTTCCCTTTCCTCTGTCACCCCTGTGGCATGCTATGTAGCTCAGGGTCATAGCCACACGTCAGCTAATATCTTTCAGACTTCTTCAGGCAAAAATGGCACAGAGAGGTTGTCACTAAACCCACACTGCTGGGTCCCATTCAGTGTCAGGGTCTGTTTTGGGGTAAGGCCAGATCATCTGTAGCTCACTGTTTTTCAGATGACGATGCCTCAAGTGCAGGGATCTCACGATGAGGACCGTGAACAAAAGAAAAAGCCTGCGTGTGTCCAGAAAACAAGAAGAGAAGAAAGGAGAGAGGGCCAGAAGAACTATCTGGATCCAGCATGGCCCAGAACTTTCTAAAATTAGTTACAGATAACAAACCCCAGATCTAGGAAGCTCGGAGAATACCAGGTAGGGTATACCTCCCAAAGAGTACATGTATGTGCACCTGATCAAAAATGCTGAGGACTGAAGACATGAAACTGTTTAAAGACGCCAGAGGAGAAGTTTTACTGATTTAGCAAAGAGCAAAGGTAGACATTGCAGCAGGGTCATTGTGCAAACTATGAAAGCTGAGGAGAATAGGGCCAAGTATTTAAAGTTTTGAGAAGGTAGCCACCAGTTAAGAATCTGTAATAGGGAATGATCCTACAAAAGAGGAGAGAGACTATCTCAGGCAAACACACGGTAAGGGAGCTCTTGTTATTATTTGATCTAATGGACAAGTGTTTGAAGAACACAGTAGAGGGGATGGAGGTGTAGTTCCATGGTAGAGTTCTAGCCTACTCCTTGTATGTACAATGCCCTAGGTTGGGTAGGAGGCTGTAGCTCAGTTGGTAGAGTGATTGCCTAGCATGTACAAAGCCCATGATACTCAGCCTAAATATACTGGTCATAGTGGCATATACTCTTGTAATCCCAGTGGTCAGGAGGAGGATGCAGAAGGATCAACTTTGATCAACTGTATAGAAAGTTTGAGGCTATCCTTGGATACATGATACCTTGTCTCAAAACTAAGTAACTACATAAGTGAATAACAATGATAATGATGGCAACAATGTATTGTTATGATAAATCACATGACTACACCGTGTGAATATGTGAAACAAAGGATAGACAACGTCAGAATAGATTAAAATCTGTTGAAACATTTCCTCTTTGAGGGCATGAGTTGCACAGGAAAGTCAAGTGACTTACTAGGGCCCTCCCTGGCTCCTTCTGTGGAGCAGCTACCTCCAAGCCATACAGGGAACCACAGGGGCTCAGCTTCCAACCAAACAGGGGTGGGCTTTTTGCTGATGCAGTTCCTGAAAGTAACCCTAATACGGTCATGGGGGGGGTACACCAATCTACACCATGGTGGAATTGGTTTCTTTTTTTTTCTTTCTTTTTTTTTTTTTTTTTTTGGTCTGTGTTTGGTGCTGTATCTGGGGTAAGATGCCATTTGATCATGTCTCTTCAATGCACTAATTGTTTACAAAACTGCTTGTTGTGTAAGAAGATGAGCTAAGAGTGTAGGCAAGTTATCCCGGGTTACAAAGTAGCAGCTGTTGATACCTTCGAGAATTCATCAGTGTTTCTCTTGACAGGAGTTTAGCTTTTTGGGCAAAGGACTTGGCCAGTGTTAGCAGGGTCTTCAGTGGCGAAGGCCCTCTTTGATGGCTGTGCTCCAGTCTGGTCTCAGCTGCAGACTCACTGCAGGAGATGACAAAAGCTGCTGGGCTTCCCCGTTTCAATGGGGCCTCTTCTACCAGCTAATTCTTGTACATTTTGGCTTTTGTTTGTGTTCTTAGGAGTCTTCCAGGAGAGCTAGAGGAGACATAACTCAGCACAGGTCATGGACAGGGTTGGTGTAGAAGAGACAGGCAGCAAAGAGAGGCGGGCAGCTGGAGGGCACACACTCGGCAGGGACCTGAGGAGTGTGGGTGCGTCTGTGCATGGCTCCTGTGCCTTTATCTGTCTTGAGCACCAGAGACTAAGCAGAACGTACAATTGTTGTGTCACCCGTGATATTAAACACATGATTGATGGTTTGGACCGAACGGCTCAGGTGTTGGCATTCTGGAGTTTCAATAAGCAGAGGCTTATGAGTTTATGTGAGACGTGCTCACAGACGCCCTGAAGAATATGGTTTCTTGAGGTGTGAAAAGACGCTTTCTGTTGTGTCAGTGCTTCAGCATTCATGTGCTGTAGCCCATGGGGGACTGTGGGGTCTGAAGCATCAGGTTAGAGATGGGTGGGGGCACCCTTCTTTGCTAGGGGCTGTTGATATGAATACGGGTGTTGCTGACAGACAAGGTAGAAAACTATACAGTGTTTGCAATGTTTTGCAAATTTGTTTTGATAAGGATATTTGAGAAAACATGCTCATATAAGGACACACACACACACACACACACACACACACACACACACACACACGAAGTGACATTAGAACCTTAGACTTTTTAGTTTGCTCAGAGCTCTCTCAGTTATCCCATGACTCCTGTGGCTGTATGGTCGAGCCTGGGGACTCTGTATCATCTAGAACTGACAGATGTGCATTTGTGTTCCTCTCAGAGGCCAGGGTAGGAACTGGATCTTGTTTATTTAACCTTGGATGCCCATCTGCCACCCTTGGCACACAGATGATTCCAGCTGGGAGTGAGCTGGAGCGTGGATTGTAGACTCTGGATGTTGGAGCTTCCTCTCAGGGTCCCTTGAGTGAAGGCAACTCTTCTTTCAACCCTAAGCCCCAGCCCACACCTTCTCCAGCCCCGAGCTCAAGTTTAAATGGCTTCTGTTGTAGAATGCTGTCTTCTTTCCCCATGGGTGCTCAAGAAACCCACTAGCTTTCCATGATGGAGTAGAGGAGGGGCTCTGAAGGCCCCCCCTTCCCAAGGAGTGACAGACAGTTAGCAGCTACTGGGATAGAATATTTCCTTCATGGTGCAGTGCCCATGTGTTGATGATGATCCTGCAAGTAACCCTAACTCAACGCATTGGTCTACTAGGCTAGACTTGAAAGGAATCTTTTTTTTTTTTTGTCTCTGGTTGGTTCTTTATCTGAGCCAAACAGACATTTGTTTACATTTCCCCAGGAAAAGTCATGTGATATCTAAGATGTTTGGAACTAGAATCAGTATCCTGACTTAAGAGAATAAAAGTCTTAGCCAGGCGGTGGTGGCATAGCCTTTAATGCCAGTACGCAAGAGGCAGAGGTAGGAGGAGCTCTATGAGTGTGAGAACTACACAGAGAGGCCCTGTCTCTAAAAGAAAGTGGGGGGTTGGAGTCCAGGTTTGAACAGAATTCATGAGCAGCAAGGGGCATGGACAGGATGACCTTCCAGGAGGAAATGTGGTCAGTTCAGAGGGTTTCTGATGGTGGTGAGGTGTATGCATGGGGCGCTTGAGTCTCAAGCATGCCTGGGCCAGAGGTCAACCCTGAATCTGAGGGTCTCAACCCTCTGTACAGGACTACAGAAGGCCAGCATCTCCCCTGATGTCCTGTAGGGGTCTGGCCATTGGGCTCAAACTGCTATCGGAACTCAAGGCAGGACTTTAATGAATGTTAGCTCTTGCTTCTCTCAACTGGGATCTCTCAGCTAGCAGCCCCAGAGGGAACAATTAGTTTGTTTATCCAAACCTCAGCCACTTTGCTATGTAATTGATTTTTCATTGAGTGTATTTAGGAGAGGTTATTTACATGAATGCAGGCCCACCAGGGACAGCAGCATCCTTGTAGCAGAAGGGAGAAGCCTGGATCAAAGGGCAGGAGAGGAGAGAACAGGATGAGAGAGCTACTAGACCTCTATAACCTGGGCTGAGATGCTGGGCAAATCTTTAATCTTTCAAATCCCAGATTCATTTCAAAGGTAAGCAGTATTCCCTTTAAACAGTGCTGGGAAGGTGCTGGCCTCAGAGCCAGGTGTACCACGGAGTCACCAGACAGACTATAAGTGGGGTAGCTTGGCAAAAACAGGATATAAGGAGGGATAAACAGGGACTCCCTCTCTTGTCTGCGGAGATGCTAAGGAGGTTAAGTTGTGGCGGTGACTTGCTCCTTCTTCTCTCTGATCTTGGATGTCTATACACACCTCCAGACCTCTATGGTTGGCCAGTGGCAAGCTCCGTTCTCTGACATCACCACAATCGGCAGCACCAGATCTTAAAACTTTGTGAAAATTAAAATATAATTACATTTTCCTCCCTCCAGCCCCTACCACTTCCCTCTTCCTCCTTCCCTCTCAAATTCATGGCTTCCTTTTCTTTAGTTACTATTGTTACATAAATATGCATAAATGTACAAATACAACAGTCTGAGTCTGCTTAGTATTGCCTATACGTCTATGATTTCAGGATGACCACTCAGTATTGGATAACCAATTAGGGGGGCTCAGCTTTGGGGAAGATTAATTCTCCCTCTTTCAGTAAGCAGTTGCCTGTAGTTCTTTGTCTAGTGGGTAGGGCCCACAAGATTTTCCCTTTCCACATTAGTCTGCTGGTGCTGTAGGAAGCCGTATTTTGAGGCAGTGTGGGTTTAGCTTCCCTGCCATGTCTAAGAGATACAACCTCCTAGCAAATTTCCCAGTCATCTTCTCTTTCAGCCTTTCCACCCCATCTTCCACAGTGCTTCCCGGCTCTTAGCTGCAAGAGCTGTGTTATAGATACGTCCACTGGGGCAGGGTACCACACGGTCTGTTGTTTTCTGCATTTTGACGAGTTGTTGTTTAATGTAACGGTCTCCATCTGCTGCAAACAGAAGCTTCTCTGATGAACGGTGGGAGTAGCGCTGCATTTTAAACCTCAGTGATAAGCCTCCGAGTTTTGTTCTTCGTTATTCCTCTTGTAGATCATGAATCAGTCAACCACACATGACCCATGGGTTAAACCTGGCCTACTGCTGTTTATGTAGTCTGTAAGTTAAGAACCATTTTGATAGTTTTAAGTGGTCGAGAAAACTCAAAAGTATACTTCGTGATACATTGTAATTGCTAGGTGGAAAAGTGGCCCCCACAATGGTGGTACTAAAGATGGTGGCCTGGGCCTGACCTGGGCTAGATTCTTACTATGTAAACAGAAGGAATCTTATCAGGTAAACAAAAACCTATCCTCAGCATTCCTCAGAAAACTTGTTGGGGTGGAGCTTCTGTTTGTCAGGAAAGCCACCACTTCCCTTATTTGCTCCCTAGGTCAACTACCTCAGGCAGGGGGCACCTAGTTCCCAGTTAACCCAAACAGCCTACCAATGGGGGAAGTCCTTCTGTATATATGTTTCTCTTATTGGTTGATGAGTAAAACACCATTTGGCCAAAAACCAGTAGAGACAGGAAGATAGGTGGGGCTTGGAGATGAGGAGAATTCTGGGAAAGGTAGGCAGAGAGAGCCTGCGAGAGAGACAACATGTAGCTGCCAAAGGAGAAACAAGTCCG